AGAGCCTGTTAGGTTCAGGCCTTGCTTAACTGTAACAAAGTGCTCATGGAGGAGTCCCACTGCCACATGGGTGCAGCTACAGCTGCCTGCCTGGCAGGCCTTGTGTGACAGCAGGTCAGTAAGCCACATGCCGGGCTCCCCGTGCCTCTGTCAGGTTAGAAATACAACCTGCAACAAAAAAAAAAAATAGAAGCAACTTTGCAAAGAAGCGTTCGATAGCACAGAAAATAGTGTGAGCCATCAGCACATGCTGCAGCGCAAGCATTACTTTGCATGGATACTTGCTTGTCTATCCTGCTGCATTGCCACCAGCCAGTGGCCGCATTGACATCAACATCGGTTCTTTCTTCTTCCTGCTTTGTTAAAGTGAAATTGTGCCGGTTTCAGCAACAGCAGGAGTGCCAAGACTGTAACTGCATGCCTGAGCAGCGGAGTAGGTAGAAGAGGCCTTTTATAGCTGTCTTTTGCACAGTTTGAAGACTTTGCTTTAAAAACATTACACACGCACATGCACACACGCGTGTGTAGTTTCTCGTCATTTTTTCCTACCTATTTGATAATGCCCTATCCTACTGCCTTAGTTCTTGCTACACAGCCACTGTAGCCGTATCTTCAGATCTTGTTCTAATTTGTGTGCAGATCTCATCAATGTTATCAAGTGATTTCTATCTGACTGGTGTATCAGGTCCCACCTCCAGTACCCTGAAGCAACGACCAGCTGGCAAAGAATTGCTGGTGTTGGTCTTGAGTCTAGAAGGTAGCAAGGAAAGTGCATGGAAGGGAACCGTGGGGTGGGGGCAGGGTTACATCAAGAGACGCACGAGAGAAACAAGCTCACTGAGCTTGCCAAAGAGCAGGACTTAGGGGTATTTTTTCCACTCTACTTTGGAGTAGTTGTAAATTGGCTGTTTGGCTTGGTTTGATGTTTCTTTTCCCCAACAGATATGTAATTTGGAGCCAATGCTTCCCTATTTTTCCACAGTAATGACACATCGTAGCCATAGCTGGGTGTAAACATGGATTATCAATGTCGTTTTGTTTCAGCAAGATTTCCACTGTTGCCAGTAAATCCCCCAATCTGGGATGTTTATATGCATGCAGCTACATTTCTCTTCTAGCAGCTTCCATGGGCCTCGTTCTTCTGACTACTATGCAAACACGTGCTTAAATGGCAACAGGAGCAGCAGCAGCCAGCCCTCTCCCAAAGCCCTCATGCTCCCTCTGACAGTCAAAGGACAGCGCAGAGAAGTGATGCACAATAAACATCAGCCACCGACGAGTGGAAGGTTCCTAACCTCTTCTTCTCAGAATGGCTGGTTTTCTAGGTAATATGGCCTCTTTAAGAGAGCAAATACAAAATGGTACAGATATTTAGTATCAGATGGCAGTGGTGTAACAGGACCCCCACACACACCTTTACACTGAAGAGCCACCTCAATTTTTGCAGGCTCCCAATGCACTAGAGCATAAACTCTTTCTTTTTTTTTTTTTTCCTTTTGCAAATGTGTTGCTGACTCTGTCATTGATACATGCATGTCTTTGGCTATTTTAAAATCTTATACTCACTGGTATTACTGCTTCCCCAGGGACATGCAGCAATCAGGTACTATTTTTAAACTCTTCAGTCAACCATGACTTCCTTTTTATCTGTCCATTCTGTAGCTGCCGTAGGGAGTGAGCGTGGCATTCCTCATTTTTTTTTTGTGGTTCCTACTTATAAGGAATAGGCAGGACAAGTAGTGATTCTTGTTGGTGCTGGAGCACTACACAAGTTAGATTACAGGATGAAGTACAGACTGAATCATGTCTCAGAAATTCACCCTCCAGTGTCACATTGTACCCAAGTTAATGCAAACCAGAACTCACACTACACAAGCACAAAGCTCTCAGTTTGTTCCCAAAGCTCCCACAGCTTTTTCCATGCCAGCTATATATATATATGTATATATATAAGAAACTAATAATGCAACACATTCTTGTGTTTGTTTGAAGAACTGTATGTGGGCAATTTCTTGAGTCATTTAATTGCAGGGAGGCTGAAGCCTGAATAAAGAAATACACTCAAGGTTTGCTTGGTTATTGAGGGCAGTCCTTGTCTTTCTTTCCCCCAAAATTAAAAGTTTCCAAGGTGTTTGAAGTGCAGCTAGAAGGAATGGAGACATCATATGCCACACCAAACCTGGACACTGATACAGCTGTGAGGCTGCTGGTACGTACATCTTTTGCTTGAAAACTGCATTATTTGGTGGTAGTACACTGCTGGGCCCATGAAGCCGGTATGCCTTTCTGCTTGGCCACTAAGCATCAGCAGGACCCTGCTGATTACTACCCATCATGCGTTAATAAGCGTTTGGGGGTGAGGGCGTGTGGAAAATACTGGGAGAACCTCAAACCCATATCTTTGATTACACTGTAACACGCACCAGCTATGCACCCCACATAGTGCTATGTCGTGGGGAAGAAATCAATCAGCCCTTCATCCTGGGAAGGCCAGGGGACTATGACTTATATACCAAAGCACAGAAAACAGTAGAAGAGCTGTGTCCAGGTCTGGGGCACTGTCATACAGTCCTGCAGCCTCTCAGCCATGTTTTTGCAGGAGCGTCTCAAGAGCAACAGGATGAATAGAGCCACTTCAGAAACTAATAAGAGAAAGCATCAGGAATAGCAATCATAGCTCTGAAATATTAATATTTGTTGCAATTACCTGCTGACAGTATTTAAATAAGGAATGCTATGTGACCAAAACCAGAGCTATGTGAGAACGTTCTGTCATTGTTTTATTGAGTGCATTAGCTTTTCTTTTTTGTACAACATCCTGTTACCTCTTAATTTACAGGTACTTGCTTAAACTGTTGTACAGGATGATGTACCAAGACAGCATTGCTGAGGACAGCCACCCTGAGTATGTGTTTTAAAGATCTGAGGTATACGAAAAATTAAAAAGCAGGCATAAGGCCTATTTTTTTTACATATGTTCCAGTGTTATTCTTTTCATTTTACTATATCCCATTCCTACTGTCTTGGGCAAAGAAGCAGTCCTGAGTCTGAATTTCACAGTTTATTTATTGCCAACTAACATAAACCTTAAATTATCAGTTCTTTGATATTGAGAAATAAAGACAAGCAATTAAACAAACACTTAGGGGAAATACATCGGTTTTCCCCCAGACACCTCTCCTGCCCACTTCCTGGTGTCCCATCCCCACAGTGCCTTTGAGGAGGCCATGGACAGCACAGGAGATTGGGGTCAGCCACTGTGGTTCCTCTTCTTTTGCTGGTCCTTGTTTCTCATTGCACTGCTCTGGTGTGGCCTTCTCCACCAGCCGCAGTCCCTCTAGAGTCATACCTCCTCCAGTGTCTTCTGTGTGCCTGTCCCTGCTCAGGGGTTTCTTTGCTACAGCACTTGCTGGTGGCATGTCTGCTCCAGCCCTGCTCAGGCTGTGGGCCAGCACAGGGTAGTCTGTGACCTCCTCCTCCCAGGTCACCCCTGCAGTCCCCAGCTACTAAGACCCTGTCAATTATGCCCAATGTATCTGCTCACTTTTATGTAGGACTTTCTGCCACATATCCCAGAGTCACCAAATCACTTCACACACTTGAGTTACCCAGGGGCATAATGGATCATTTTTAAAGTAGCTTAAAATGTCATCAGTGTGTAAGGACAGCGTAAGAGTGAGTGAGTGAGTGAGTGGGATTCGTTAATTCCCAGATCCACCCAACTGCTATGTTATCTGGGGTTAGGGCAGCAAGGAGGACATTAGTGAGTGCTATGGGGTAAAGAGCAATGCGCTCTGAGCAAGTGTTGTGCCTTCAGTACCTATATCATGGCCCATGATGAGGGCTTGTAGGACTGGAATAGCACAGCTATGTAATTCTCCATAATGTCAGGGGAAACTGTCCCAAATGTGCTGTTTCAGTTATACCTAAATGCTCAGTTATGCTAAATCTAGGAAACCGAAAGTCCTCAGCAGGGAAGGCAGCCCTGGTAGGCTGAGAGCCAGTCACATACCCAAGGAGCGCCTCACAGCCCTCTGCTGCCCAGCAGTGTGTCTTGGATGGGTGCCCACACTGGGCACCCCAAAACTGGCCACACAGCCACAGATGCAGCAGCAGGGACAAGGGACTTGCTAGTCCTACCAGCCTGCCAAAATGCCAGGGGGAAAGAACAAGTGCACGTGTGATTTTAGGACTTGTCAGCACTAGAGATCTCATAAGCCACCACAGTGGTAGGGCTGGGAGGCAGAAGGGGGAAAAGAGAGAGGAGCTGGGGAGAGGATTTGGGTGCGGGCAGAGCTTGCAAACCGTCCTCCTGAGTACAGAGGGCCTGCTATGCTCCACACAGGCCTTCCCTCCTTCCTGATCCCCTGCACCACAGCTCTTTATTTGCTTTCCTTAGGCTCACAAACTCTTCCCCAGCTGCCAGCATCCTGAAGCCTGGGGAAATAGTAATGAGTGACCATGCCAAGTGCTAGGAACGGGTGAGAGGGTTTAACCTGGGGGAAGGGGAAAGCAAAAAGCAGGAACTGGTGTTATTGGTACCCCTTCCCTCTTCACAGTGTGGTACATGTTGCATCCTATGCCCTGTAAGAGTGCTCTTCAAGGTGTGGTCAGGTACCACTGGTGGGCTGTCTGCCACCAGAAACCATCAACTCAAATGTAACCCAGTGTAGCTATACAAACACATGCACACACTGCTCCCCAAGTCAAAAATCATAGCAAAAAGTATAGCGTGTTGGGAGGGGAGAATAAAAATACTGAGTGACTATTCAGAGACCAACCTACTGTTCGCTTGATTGGAAATGCAAAGCAGTGTGATGGCAGTGGACTAGCTGGCCCACAGAATTTCCTCCAGAAGGCTAGCTTGTGCTTGGATTTAACCCCACCACACAGCAATCAAAGTATGGTCAGATGGGGAACCTGCACCACTCGAGTCATGCAGTGCCCACCCTATGCATTCCCACCCTGTCGGATTTGGGGTGCACAGACACAGAAGGCTGGTTGCATGAGATGTTTATTTGCTTCTCCTCCCATGTTATAGGGGAAAAGTCCTTGTTTCCTTAAGCAGTTTCAGTCCTAGTGCTTCTGGTCATACGTGCCAGCTCCCTTGTAGGCTCCAACGTAGCCACTGTTGTCTGTCAGATCCTGGCGCCCAGCAAGACCCTTCCCTTTGCCACTTTCATCAAAACGCTCTTTGTGGCTTCCAGTGTATTTGCTAGTGTCCGTCAGCCTCTCGACCCCACCAACCTTGGTGGCTTTCTGCAAGAGAGGAGGCCAGCAAGAGGCAGCCAGTGTTAGCAAACAGTTTGCAAACAAACTCTTCCCTATGAGCAAGGAGGGCCCCTACAGCAGGGATGGTTCCATGGCAGCTTAGGCAGCTCAAGGTGAACAGCAGGCGAGGGAACTCATACTGACCGTGGCACCCACGCTGCCGGGATCCTTCCCCTCAATGAGGCCATACACAGCCTGCAGCGCTTCCTCTGGTGATTTGCCCTTGAAGCGCTTGCCACAGAGCTCCTTCATGGCTTGCTGGAATTCAGCAAAGGTGATGGTGCGGGCACCCTTAGTCCTATGGCAACGGGAGACCAAGAGGAAAGTTACCTCGCTGCTGGGTGGCAGCAGGATGGGAAACTCCCAGGGCTGCCCCTCGCGCAAGAGCCTGCCTGCCTCATGCCTTTCCTTCCTCCCTCCTGGCTGTGCTGCCCACCATGCCTCCCTGCGACACTCACTTGACTTTGTTGAATACGATGTCAATGTCAGTGCTGGTCACGGCTTTCCCATCCATCACGCCACACTCTTTGCACATCTTGGAGAAGTTTTTCCCAGTCATATCGTTGCCACTGGCAGATGTGTCACCATATATTGCAAATTTACGGAAAGTATTTTCTACCTCTGACATCTTGCTGCTGTGGAGAAAAGAAGTTGGCAGGGAAGGAGCTGAGGACCATCTGCAGCTGCTGAACACACATGTCCTATGCACCTTGTCTCCAGAAGAGCAAGGGGTACCACCCACAGGTATCTCTCCACCATGGGACAACCATGATGACCACACAGGTATTGACAGAGAACACCTGGGATCCAGGCAGGACTGGGCAGGGACAGGTTGGGACCCGAGGCAAGGCAAAGGAGGGGTGGAGGTAGGGCTCTGGGGTGAATTAATGACTGCTGCATGTGAAGGAACAAGACATCCAAAGCTTCTGAACCTTTTTGAAATACAAGTTTCAGTTAGATTTTCTCAATAACAAATGGCTGCATTTGTGAGCTGATTTATGCTTTGCCTGCTATTTGATGATAAAGATTCCAGATTTGTCTTCCAGGGCCCAGATAAGTGCCTGAATCTCACAGGCCTTCTTGCAAGTAGTCACCAAGGAGTTGTCCCCGTCTTTACCCATCACACTTCATCCCCTGAATTGCTCCCTCAATTAGGTTGTCCTCCTCCCAACACCAGTAAATTTTCCACTACTGATCGACTTAGACCAGTGCAATCAGGTATCAGGGATCTCTGAGAACATAAAAGCCATCGCTCGGACTGTAAATCAGTCCACCACAACTCGAGCAGCTAATTCGTGCTGCTTGTGAGACACCCTCGAATCCTTTTGAAATACCCAGCCTCTCCTACAGCCTTGTGCTTCACCGAGGGGCTCTGGGTCCCAAAGTTGTTTGCAGGCTGCCATTTAACATAAATCTTGTGTGGGTCTGCACCTCTCTAGAGCAAAAATCAGGCAGGCTTCTACCAGGGAGGCTATGTGCTGCGAACATGAAGGGGGCAGCAGGGGGCTCCAGGTGTCCTTGCTGGGGGCCCTCCCAGGACCCTTCCCTCCCAGGACCCTTCCCTCCCTCCCTGGGAGGTGTGGACCCAGTTCACCTGCGTGAGCCGGTGGTGATGGTGGTGGTGCTGGCACTTTCCCTGCTGTCCTGGAGGCAGTGGGCACTCAGAGCCACCCCTTGCACCTTGCTGGCCTATTGTCACCTCAGCACCCATGCATGTCACAGTCCTCGGAATGCCCATGACAGGGCGGGAGGTGGGGGGTGTGTGCCACCAGAGATGTGGTGGTCCAAATCCCTTGCGGGGGGGTATTGGACCTTCAGCCCACTGTGGGACAAAAAACCAAATACCGTACACTCTTCAGCTAACATAGCCATCACACACTGGAAATGTCATCTGTACTGGGACATGTACTCCAAAGGGAAGGGGCATTTATCCCTATAACCAGTAGGTGCAGCCAGTCCTTGCTCCTCCTTCTTCGAGGAGCTGATCTGCTGCCAGCGTGCTTGTGTCCTGGCTAGCGCATGTGCCCACGTGCCTTTGGGGGTCACCAGGAAATCAGTAACTCCAAAAAGTGGGGTGGGGTGGGGTGGGAAGGGGGAGAGAAAAAATACACATCACCTGTGAAAAAGCTTTGAGAAACACAGTTTTCCACTCATAAGCTAACAAACTTAAAGTAGCTGGAAATTGGATCTGGGAAGTTCAGGCCAGCAATAAAGCTCAGCTTGCACCCTGGCAGTCGTACCGTGTTTGTAGGGGCACTGTGATAGCACACTGTTAAAAAAGGCATTTCATCTTTGTGGCCCATGTAAGATTAAATTAATGTGCCTTCATTGGTTGATATATTTATTTTCCTTAAGCTGTGCTTAGCAACGTTGAGCCATGTGTAAATATGTCTTATTTCAGAAATATTTTATTCTCACCACTAATTAACAGGCATGTACTTTCCAATCTTGCTGTTAGTCGCAGCAAACCCACAGCAGCGGGGTGAGCTTGGCCAAGTTTTACCCATTCCAGGAGGAAAACCTTGCAGATACTGCTGCATGCTCACCGCCTCTGCACTTTTGCATGGCCTTTGGTCTTCCTGTTGGACTGACCATAATTCTTCACCAATTACATTGCCACCCAGAGAAACTTGTTTGCCCCTTGGCAGGTCTTGTGCAAAGGGCATCGGACAGCTGTCAGCCTTGAGAGGCTTCTGCGGGGCAAGGGTGAAATGGCAAAAAAGTGGCGGGTGCCACCTCCTGCCACTGCTGAGGAACACGGCCTGGCATCCTGCCCCGCCATGGTGACAACAGTGCCACAGCCCTGGCACAGCTGTGCAGTGCACCGGTTCTTTGGTACCACTTGCTGCTGATGAGCCAGGGGCAGAGACTAAGGATGCCAACGTAAACCTCAGACAAACAATTGCTAGCAGTGCTGTTTCTGCCTTTTAGACAAGTGCTGATCACTCCAATGAATTGTTTCCTCTTTCCTTGTTGCAGGTGGCCTGTTTTGGGGCTGCCCCAGCAGGAATGCCACTCTCACTGCCTGTGCAAGGAAAGCAGGGAAGAAATGAGGCACTAGCTATCATCACAGGAATGATGATGTGGGGGGCAGATGTGCATGTTGTTGGTGGGGATTTTTGTTATATTCTGGAAAGATGTCTCTTTTCTGTGACAGTGTATTTTTGGAACTGAACTTTTCTTCCCCTTTTAGTTACAGCATATGACTATTTTTAAAATTGAAAAATGTATACCTAGCTTTAGGTGATTAAGTGAAGCTGAAGAACCCAGAAAGAAGGCAATACTCTCTTAGAGTGAGTAGCCAAGTGCCCATAAATTTCAAGGTCAGGAGTTCACCTCTTTTTTTTTTGGCCTGCAACTCAAAACCACTTCATATTGGTTCTGTGATGCCAACAGCTTATTTGTTTCTGCTCCTCACAGTCTGCATGTGACAATGAATAAACCAAAAGGTCACTTCCCTTAAAGCTCTTAGAGCAATGCTCCCCAGCCATAAACTCAACAAAGCCATAAACAAAAAGAGCTCAAACCAGCCAAGTTTCTAAAACTGCAGAGATTGCCAGGGGGATCCTGTGGCTCTGGATGGCCTGGACAGGTGGTCTCATCCAACCCCCAACCCCCCCAAAGAACAAAGCCCTCTCTCCAGCTATGCACCTCACAGGTAGAGTGAGCATGCAAGAAGCTCACCAGAGGTCACCAATGTTTACGAAAAAAGAGAACTATGTTATTTCCATCCTTGTGCGTGCACGCACACACAGAGGCATGTATGGTCAGGAATTCTTATTAGCCAACACGCCTTATTAAGAAAAAGGCAAATGGCCAGATTGCTGTTCTTCTGAAGTTTCCTCCCTTCTCTATACTCGTATTTCTCTAGCAGATCTCTGTTCCTGTTGTCATCCACAAATTTTATTAACAGCAATTTTTCCTGTATTTTCAGCTCCCTGATAAAACCATGAAAAGGCATTGGGCCTAACACCACTTCATATTGGTTCTGTGATGCCAACAGCTTATTTGTTTCTGCTCCTCACAGTCTGCATGTGACAATGAATAAACCAAAAGGTCACTTCCCTTAAAGCTCTTAGAGCAATGCTCCCCAGCCATAAACTCAACAAAGCCATAAACAAAAAGAGCTCAAACCAGCCAAGTTTCTAAAACTGCAGAGATTGCCAGGGAAGGTGGGGATCCTGTGGCTCTGGATGGCCTGGACAGGTGGTCTCATCCAACCCCCATCTGACCCAAAGAACAAAGCCCTCTCTCCAGCTATGCACCTCACAGGTAGAGTGAGCATGCAAGAAGCTCACCAGAGGTCACCAATGTTTACGAAAAAAGAGAACTATGTTATTTCCATCCTTGTGCGTGCACGCACACACAGAGGCATGTATGGTCAGGAATTCTTATTAGCCAACACGCCTTATTAAGAAAAAGGCAAATGGCCAGATTGCTGTTCTTCTGAAGTTTCCTCCCTTCTCTATACTCGTATTTCTCTAGCAGATCTCTGTTCCTGTTGTCATCCACAAATTTTATTAACAGCAATTTTTCCTGTATTTTCAGCTCCCTGATAAAACCATGAAAAGGCATTGGGCCTAACACCAAAAGCCACAGATTCTCCCCACAGACACCTCTAAGGAAAAGCATCTCCTGTGACCTGTCAATTTGCCGTCACAAAATTCAGTTAACCTGGAGGACAGGGCTTTAAAGAGCCACTCCTTAGAATGATAGCACATAACTGACAGATCACACAGCAAAATTGTTTTAATATCTTCCAGATGTATTGCTTCAGTAAGTTAATACAGAGATTAATCTGAATCACTGTGCCTATGCTCTTTGGTCTTCAATTCTCTCATGGCTACATGCCAAATTTTTTCTGCTTTCAACTGCAAGCTTTCGACAAAGTCAGGCCAAGGGAGCATACAGTTTGGTCCCAAGTAACTAGTTAAGTATTTGAAGCTGTTACCAACCTTTTATGAGCTCAGTTTAAAATTACATTTAGGGAGGTTTGAAGCATCTTAGATAAGACAGACAGTAAAGAAATAGAGGAGGATCATCAGGAAAAATAAAAGAAAATAAAATAAAGGAAAAAGCAGTATCCTACTGAAATAATATAAATAACATATATAAACAGACATGCACACACACTATTCCCCTGTTCCCAAAGCAAATGCACCATTAACAAGAAACTCTCAAATTATGAAAGGATATGCTAAGTTGCTTAAATCTTAAATCTTCAGTTGCATGGAAGTTATTTATTCTGTATCACTAAAATGCTTAGCTGCAAAACAGAGACCAGAATTCAGTGTTCTGTTCAAATATTTACATAAATCTGCAGGAAAGTTGGAAGACAGTTTTTGATACCATCTTCATGGAATCAGCATTATTTATTTAAGGAAAAACAGTATTTTGACGAGACTAAAAAGGACAAAAAAAGAAGTTAGAGCATGTGTAATACTGAAGCAATCCGAACTAGCTCTGCAGAATACCAGAAATCCAGGAGAAAAGATTAATGTCTGAAACTCTTTTGTAGGCAAGAAGAATATTAACTTCTGCTGTTACGAATAAATGAATTCTACATTATTCTTTGTCTGCTAGATTTTATGAACTATTACCATAATCACATAAACCTCCTTTTTTTCACATAAAG